TCGGTCCTGCGGCACAAAGCATCATACGCTTCTGCATTACGAGCAGAGCTCTAATACTACCCCTAAACCCATTAGCGCGACTCCTGCCGAACCGGACGCCGTACCCGCTCCTCAGTCGGAGGATGCGCCGATTGTAACAATGACTAGCCGGGCCAATAGAATCGTCCTCCTGTCCACCGTACGAGCCGAGGCGATAGACGCGCGTGGCCATGCGTTCCCCGTACGCATATTGCTGGACAGCGCGAGTCAGGCCAGCTTTATTACCGAGGGCTGCCTCCGGAAGGGCGGCTTTCGTCGCACCAAACACAGTGCAACCGTGTTGGCGATAAACGAAGCCAGGGCGGCCACGACGAGGGGCCTCACCTCCCTCGTGATCCGCGCGCGCGGTCGCGACGACACTCGGTTCTCGATAGAGTCTACGGTCCTCTCGCGCATAACCTCGCCGCTGCCTAATGACAAGGTGGAGGTCCAGCCGTGGAAACACTTGAAGGGATTGCCGCTCGCGGATCCCGAATATTTCGTGCCCGGCGGTGTTGACATCCTCCTGGGGGCGGACTCGTTTGTGTCGGTGCTACGGGAGGGCCGTCGAAAGGGGGAAAGGGGAGAACCCGACGCCTTCAATTCAGTCTTCGGATGGGTTCTGACGGGCGCGGTATCCCCATCAATCCAGGCAGCGCCCCTGAGGTCATTCGCGACTACGCTCGAGTCGATCGCGACATCGGTGGGTCGCTTTTGGCAATTGGAGGAGGTGCCGGAGGACGCTTCTTGTTCGGACGAGGATCGACGCTGCAAAGAAATCTTCGCCAAGACCACGTATCGTGACCCCTCGGGTCGTTTCGTGGTCTCGTACCCGTTCGTGTCGGATCTTCCTACATTCGTCGGCTCGCGCTCCATTGCGGTTAGTCGTCTCCGCGCACTAGAACGTCGATTTAAATCTGATCCGGAGTTCAGAGCTGGTTACAATAGTTTCATGCGGGACTATCTCGATAGCGGACACATGGAGGTAATTCGCAATCCATTCCCGTCGGATGGCCACATTTATTATCTACCGCACCACGGTGTGTATAAACT